ATAATTCCCCTTTTCAGAAGGATTATGAATTTGGGTAAACCAAGGTCTTTTATGGTAAAGATACAGAATTAATTCTACCGAATCATTCCTTAAACGTATGTGTGTGTGTGTGTGCGCAGAAGTACACCCCTCTTACGATAGGAAGTCATATTCTTTATTTTGAAAAATGCTGCATATTTTTTTAATGCAGCATAATGTTTTGAAACAAAATCATTCCATTGACCACACGAGGGATTTAATTTGTGCATTTGTATGAAAGATTATCCATGCCGGTACTCTCCGTAGCCTCCTCAGTGCAATCAGTGTTTAATGACTTTATCGACTGCTCCCGTTGGCTTGTTGACCCAGACCCCACAATATTGGCGAGGACCCCATGGGCTCCTGACTGCAGGCCTGGTGCACATTGCTGTGTCTTGGGGTACTTGTTGAAGGACTGAGCACGCCCGGGAAGAGTGTGGATCACCTTCACATGTTATGTCAGGTAATGAGATTCTGCGTACTCTCGGGGCTACTGTTATGCCTGTGTTTATAATTGTAATCACACCATCATTTCCATCATTCTATCAGGCCAGTGTTATTTTTCTCCCAGAAGCTGCGGCTCAGAGCAGTGAAGCAGTGAACCTGGAGACTTGGAGCCCATTCAGAGCGACTCTGAAACCCCTGCTCCTAGCCAGAATGCCTCCTTGCCTCCTGGGGGTTACACGAGATTGGCCATGAGAAAGAAAACACCACCTTCAAAGCAGATATTTTAAAAAATTGATCCTGAAGCTATATATTTTCCTCAGTTAATTGTAGCTATTTGGCATGTTTCTTCTTTAGCAGTTTATAGACTGTAATGCAGAACGCCATGATTCCTAGAGATGAAAATAATCCAGTCTGCCTGGGTTTCGTGGAACGAGTGGGTGTAATTTAGAAAATTCTCATTTATTAGAACATGGTCCCGGGTGGTCAGGTTGTTCCTGCTACCGGATCTCTGGTGCCTCTACCCCCAACCACCTGCTTCTGGCGACACCTTCAGGGCGGGAGGGTGACCGACCACGAAGACCCACCCCATTTGCCCTATACTGTCCAGGCTTGGGTTTTTCCCTACCGCGGGTCAGCGCTCCATCTGGTGCGTGAAACACTAACAAGAAACACGTTCAACATTTCTAATGTGATCTGTGACCTACTGGTTTCCCCCACCAGTTGGGCATCTCCTATCACAAGGATCTTAAAATCGAAACAGAAAAATCTGAAACTATGTGGAAAGGAGAAAAAGCAGGTAGAGAACAAGTGGTTCTCAGACATGCCACTTCCCAGAATGACTCAAGAGGCTCCGTTGGGTATCGGTTTTGAATGTGGAACCCTGAATCAAGTTTGTTAGCATCTCTAAGTTCATGTACTGATTTAATTCAGCCTTGAGCTTCCTGGCAGGCATGTGAAAATGGAAGCACTTTCCATTTTAACATTTTCCACTTGGGGCACCCATGTAATTTTACACCTATCTATATTACAAACCACCGAATTTTAGAAAAGATTGAGGTGGGTGGCTTACATAATTCTCACACTCACACAGCAGTTCTTCAGGAGGGGCAAATGTTTCCTTGGCACTGAATTCATTAAAGGAGAAAAAAAATCTGAAAAACAAAATCTGATAGTTTACGGATATTGGCTTTTTATAACTTTTCAAGTTTTCCAATTTTAAAGAAATACATGTCACTGTAACAGTAAAATATGCAATTACCCTTAACGTGTTTTATATCTCCCCACATTATTCTGTGTATACCCATTTAAAATTAAAATAGGATAATTAAATACATACTGTTGTAAAAATCTGCTTTTTACACTTACCAATAATTGCATGTACATCTTTCCGTGATAATAGAGACCTCCGTTGTCTTTTTAACACATATATTGTATTTAGTATATTCATGTACTGCAATTTATTAAATTTTCTCTCAATGGGCATTAAGTTGTTTCTAATTTTTCTGTCATAAATTGTCGTACCTTCAGTTTCTTTATATAAACGCATTTGCTCACTGGTGTAATCCTTTGCTTGACAAAATCCTAAAAGTAAAATTACTAAGTTTGAACCTTTGCCACCTGGAAAAGTTCTGGAAACAGTGCCAACTGCCCTCTGGAAAGGTGTTAACAGTGTCAGGTCCTACTCCTGGAAAACAAAGCTGTGGATCTTTTCTTACCAGCACCGATCAGCAGGTGGAACATGAAATACGACAGTCATGTCTCTAATACTCCTCAGGTGTCAATATATCATCTGGTCTTTGGCCACTTATATTTCTTATTTTTGAGTGTATTTATTAATATCCTTTGCCTTGTTTCTATTGGTGTAATCTTTTTTTTTTTTTTTCTCATCATGGACTGTCTTTAGAGTGAGGATATGAATTTTTGTCTGACATATTTTGCCAACAGGTTTTTCTTTAAAAAATTTTGGTGGTATTTTTTAAGTTAAAGTAGTTAATTTTTTTCTTCATAATTTCTGGCTTTGGGTGCATCAGGAAAAATTTTCCCCCACCTAATAAACCAATTCTCCTGAATTTCCAGGTAACCTGACTTAGGCTGTCAGTTATCCACTTAAAGCTCTATTCCTTTTGATTTATGGGAGAGACCTGGATGTATTTTTCTGTTTTGTTTCCAAACAGTTGTTTCTGTATCATCTATTGAAACAAATCTAACTTGTACTCTGGGGTTTGACATAATTTCTTTATCTGTTTATTTCTAGATTTCCTCTTCTCTGTCAGGAGTATCATACTTTCATATTATTGAGTTTGAGTAACATATTTACAATATTACATTGTAATATCCTTATCTTCTAGAATAAGCTTATTGGCTTGCATTTTCTCTTACGGGCGAACTCTAAGACTTTCGAACACTATTTTCCACCTAAGTTTTATGGAAACTGCAGAGGTTCTCTGCATTTGGGTCATCCCTAGGGATAAATAAAAGCCCAGAGAGTAAAGCTGTAGGCAGCCCATGCTCTGGGGAGAGAAGGCAACGGGCAAGTGGCTAATTCAAGGAGGCACAGATATGTCGGCTCCCAGTGCATCAGAATGACCCAAGAGCAGACTTCAGATCTTGAAGAGCAGTTGCATTTCCCTCAGGCGGTCTTCTTTGATTTTTACAATTTTCATCTGAACTGCTAACCAAGGAAACCCGAATAATACAACTGGGTTGGTACTTCTATGTTGGCCTTGGATTCGAGATCGTGGTGAGCAGGATTTGCTTTTCTCTTCACAGGAAACAAGTCAGAACTAGTTATGGTGCAAATGGAAAGCTACCACCTTTCTTCTGCTGGACGTGGCCTGGGGATGCTGCACGCAAAGCCAGCATTCTTCTAGAAGCAGCTGTGAAGGTGCTCACCTCAGCTTTGAGAGGTGTCCAGTTACCTGCACTATCGAGGATGGAAATAATTATCTTAGGCTGCAGAATGTCAAGATCAGGTGCTACTAGAGCTCTACCACAGAAAGGCCCAGAACAATAAGCAGGTGCCTCTGATCTTGAGCAGTAACACCTCCTGACAAAGTGGCCTGCCAGGGATGTTTACCACAAAATGTAATCTCTGGAACCTGCATTAATCTACTTCCTGGACAGGGCTAATCCTTCCCGTTTGTGTTTGGGTGAGAATCTTCCAGAGATGAAGATTTTTGTTATGGTCTGAGTTTTATTTTTTTTAACAGAATTGCTTGTTCTGAAAATAATTAAGCTACAAGATTGGGTTCAGGTGAAGCCATTCCTTTTCCGTGAAGGCAAGTCAAGCTTCCCAGGATGAATGGGCACGTGTCTTCCTGTTCTTTCTGGCAGAGAGGCAGCTCCTAGAGAGGGTCCGAAGAGCCAACATCCAGATCTATGGCTGTCAACTGAGGCAGTACCCAATCCCCAAACAAACATAGCTGATTTTGCCTTTCGAAGGGATAAGCAGGGCTTACACATTTGCTTGAAGTTCTGTAGGATCACTATCTCATTCAGAACCTCTTGGGAGAAGAAAGCAGGAGAAAGACCCTGAGAAATACTTCTAAAAAGTCTAGGAACATAGGAAGAATTTTTTTTTTTTGTCTTTTGTCCATTTCTGTTATCCAATCTGTAGAGAAATGGAGGCACGGTATCTAAATTTGGAAAGCCTGGGTTCTAGTTCTAAGCCTACTAATTATTAGTAGCATGACCTGAGATAAATACTTCACTTCTCCTTGCCTTTGGCTGTTCATAAAGTAGCAAGGTACCTGTGAAATGCTTGCTATGGGTTTGCAGGATCAAATGAGCTAAGGTTTGTGAAAGCACCTGTAAACTCTGACAGGATCTATAGATACGTGTACACAAATAGAAATAAACTTCATGTGTATAACTAAAACTACATTTGCAGGGCCAGAGGGATCCCGCACAGCCTACGTTCACTCTTGAGTGATTCTGGAGCTGGTGCTGTGTTTGGCCAAGGCCCAGGTGGGCCACACACGGATGCTAAAGCGGACGTGACTGGTCACAACTGCCCCTTGAGCCTCATGGAGCCTGGGGATGCTTCTTTTTCTGAAAGAGAAATATTACAGCCAGGCAAGGGATGATTTTGTCCTTCATTATCATAGATGTTGTCCTTGTGTGACACCATATCTGAAAAGAACACCACCACTTTCTCTCTCAGCCACTCAGTCTTCCCATTAAGAACATATGGGGTTTTGATTGGATAGTCTGTGGTCACAAAATCTACGATCTACCCTCTGCAGTTATAATCACTTCATTAACATGGCCAAGACATGAAACCTCTAGGTAGACCTGGCATTCCAACTCTAAAGAGGAATCTTCTGGAAATACAATGGCTGCTACTGATGACTTCCAGAAAATCTTGGCTGCCATCAGGGAATAGTGGCTCTCCAGGGCCGGGTCAGGCGAGTGACTGAGGTTTGGGTCCAGGATACTCTGCCTAAGGCAGAAAAGAGCTGCAGACCTCATCCGACCTCTACAGACACACCCAGAACATGCCTGGGTCTTTTATTTCCCCATTGCACCATATGCAGTGCCTCCCCAGGGCTGAGGTTTATGAGTCCCACTCGGAGGGCAGGCCTTCGTCAGTATCCTACAGTTCCCTGATGCTTCTTATTGAAAGGATTGTAGGGTTTTACAGTTGTGACCATTCGAGACAGCGGTGCCTGGTGACGGAAGACATCAACTTCCATTTCTTTCCGTAAGATGCTATAAAGGGGGTGGAGAAATAAAAGAAAAAAATGACCCATAAAATATACATAAAAATACATAACCTCATCTGTTTTCCAACTAACAATACACATGTTCAGGAGAGTGAATGAGGGTCAGGAGAGCAGATAACAGAGAGACTGGGAATGATTAATCCTTGTGTGCATTGTTTCATTTATTTCTTTTATTTGCATTGAGTCTCATTTATTGCATTACATGCATTATACTGTAATCGGTTTCATTGACTGAAAATCTACTCTGTGCCTAGAGTTACAGTAGGTGCTAAGAATAGATAGAATAGAAAATGTAGTTAAAAGGAGGTACTCAAACGTTACAACACAAAGTCCCTATACTGGCAAGCCTGGGGCAAGGGGCCCAGAAAGGTGGAGGACTCGATCCCAGGACCCCAGGATCACAACCTGAGCCGAAGGCAGACACTTAACTGACTGGGCCACCCAGGTGCACCTTTTTAATGCTATGATTATCATGATGTCAGAATATTTTATTGTGTGGTGGAAAACATCTGTTGAAGTACAAACTCAAGCTTCTGTTCAGGTGGCGTTCTGGTGTGAAGGAATGCACAGGAAACTCCGGACTGTCCTGGAAACAGGAATGAGGAGAAACCCCCATGTGCATTCTCTCGCTCTCCAAATGGGAGATTAACAACATCGGTCTCCCCCACCTCCTCCACCCCTGCCCCTCACTTCAATCTCATCCACTAATCTCTTTCCTTGCTATTCTGTGTCTCATCTCAATATCAATCTTAGGCACAGGTGGTGTTTTGTACACCTTGCTCAAAACGTGTTGCCGGGACCACATGGACCACAACCCCTTGGCATTGACATTCAAGGCCTTAACTCCTTAATCCCAGACTACTGCAACCTCCCAGGCACAAAGATCCACGGCAAATGCACCAGCCCACCCTCTGCACGAAGGGGCATCAACGGTCTTCAGTGTTCAGCCTCCCCTGGTGGTCTTACCAGCCTACATCTGGTGGGCAGGAGCACTGTTGACTGGCAATGTCAGAATGCAGACTGCGAGAGGTTGACGGAGAGTGGGCTGGGAGGGCATGGAGGCAGACAGGGGAAGGGATGTTTGCCTCTGAAAGAAGCTTAGGAGTGAGAGGGAGGAGGGCAGACAAAGGGATGGCTGCTCAAAGGGGACACCTTTAATTTCTACAGCAGGGAGGTGGCTGGGGTGGGAGGCGGCCAGGTTTCTTCCCAAGCAAGAGGGAGGGAGCAGGGTTGAAGAGGATCCAGTGCTCAGACGGAGGGATGAACTTTTGGAAGAGCAAGACCTCCTCTTTGGGGGGAAAGGAGACAGAAGCAGTGGTGGGAAGAGAGATTCTAATGTTGGGGGCAGGAAGGGGAGAACCCACCAGAACACTTGGAGATGGGCTGCAGGCACAAGCAGCCCGCATGGCCCCCCGGGGCAGTGTGAGCCCCTCGCACCGGGGCTTACCAGAATACCAGAGCCTGGGCCCGGGAGCGCCTCTCAGAAACAACAGGAAAAACGCAGCAGATCAGTCAGACACCATCAGGAGGAAGTCAGCTCACTAAGTTTTCATGATACTCATCAGAGAGAGACCTTGACTCCCACTTTCACAGGGAATTTTCAGCAAAAATACATTAAATATAGTGTCACAAAAATTGAGAGCTGATGCTTCATGAAGGAGAATCTCAAAGGCCCGATGTTCTCTGATCTCAAGGGCCAGGGGGCCTCCTCGTGTTAGAGAGAGCTTTTTAAAGATTTTATTTATTTATTTATTTATTTATTT